AGCTTCAAACCCTAAAATCCCGACCATGTGCCGCAGTTTGTTAGCAGGCCTGAGAACGCTTGCTTGCACACGCCAAGCGTTGCCACAGACACCAGGCTGGGAACGCCGCTTGCCTGCCAAGCGCAGCTGGCGCCGCAAGCGCGCGCTATTCGGGTTTTAGGGGCACCCCGCCCATTTGCGTGTCGTGGCTTTCTTCTTCTTATGTGTTGGAAAACCGTTTATTCATTTCTTCTTTGCTCAATAAAGTGGAGAGTTGCCGTTTAAAAAAGTGGGAGGGGTTTGGAGGGGCGCACCCCGCCCATTTGCGTTTCGTGGCTTGATTCTTATTGTGTTATGGAAAAACTATTTATTTGTTTCTTCTTCGTGGCGCAGCCCTCCCATTTTGCAAACCTTCGCTGTCCCCCCATTTGCAAACTTTTGAAACTGAGCAGTTTTTTCTTTTCGCCTTCTGAAGCTTTTCGTGTAGTTTTGTCGTGTGTAGAAGAAGACCTGGCAGTCTAGATATTTTACGGTTTTTTGTATTTGCAGTCGTCAGCCAACCCAAAATTTCGGATGCACATTCGCAGCTTTGGCCCAACATTTGCCTGCCCAGCGGATCAGCGAGGCGCAAAGTTTTGCGTTCATTGACATGATTTTTCGTTCAACACATGTTTTGATGTACTGGGTTTTGGAAGCAAAGTGGCAGTTCGCAGCTGATCGACACGACCGTGCTTGCACAGTGCACAAGTGCTTGAAGTTGCGCAGAGGCCTTTCCAACATGGGCTGGGGCGGCGGATGGGGCGGTAAAGGCAAGTTCGGTGGAGGCGGCGGCGGATGGTCTCCTTGGCAGCCCATGCGGCTCGGCTGCACACAGTGAGATGTGTTGGAAGCAGCCGGAGTTGCTGAAATCACATGTCAATTCCGCTCAGAGGTTCATGAAATGGGGCAAGGGCAAGGCCGGTCGGTCCGGGTTTTACGGGAGTGATGTATTCGGGGTTTTTGGGCAATCAGTGGTATTGCATGTAGGTTGTGTAGTATTATATCTTCATGTGGCCCTGTGCTGCGTCATGGTGCACGTATGCAGTGTACTTTGGAGGGGTTGAGCATCGTATTTACCCGAGAACCATACTACAGCCAACCCATCAATCCAGCATCCCAGCACCTTTACTCACCCTCCACCACCACGACGACTGCTATTACTACTATTACCCTCCTCCTCCTCCTCCTACTACTACTACTACTACTACTCGCAAGTTGTGTTGCTGGATTGTAGCAGCAGGTGTGTTTCGCATTCAACCCGAACCCGAAGCTTGAAGCCCCAACCCTAGTCCCCAGGGTCCCTAGAACGTAAAGGCCCAAAACCCTGAAGATCTTCGATTCCTGGCAGGGCAAAGGCTCAGGGCTCAAGGTCGACCCGGCTCTGAAATGCTGGATCGGAAACCTGGCAGAGGGGACCTCCTGGAAAGCCTTGCAGGACCACATGAACCAGGCCCAATTGGGTTCTAGCCATGAGGGCCGTAAGGGGTTCATAGAAGCACGGGAAGGTTTTCCAAGGGAAGAGATTGTCTGGTAGATCGTAGTTTCGGTCATGATCTGAAAACGAAAGCATCTTGTATAGTGCCATGCATTGAAGTTCAGGAACGAAGACAGACGCAGATAGACCTACGGTTAGCCCTTCAACTGCAGTATGCAAGTTTGCATATCGGCACAACGACCTGTTGTGAGCATCCTACATTGTCGAAGCCCCAGAGTCTGAAGGCCGGAAAGACCACCTGGGTCGAGTGCTTCAGCGGAAAGGGTTCCGGCACCGGCGGCGTGTCCTTCTCAACGGCAGAGGAGGCAGCCAATGCCATCACCATGCTCAACGGGACCCCTGCTGGATTTCATTACTCATGGTACAGTAGACCTTCAGACTGGCTTTAGTGGACAGGTTCTGACAGGAAGAGGATGTCAGTACCCGTCGCATGTTGCACCGCTTGGGAAATTCTGCCTCAGGGCATGAGCTTAGCACCCCCACCCGCACCTTTTCTTCTGTTTTTCATGCAAGTGGAGGGAGGGGATTTGGTGGTTTCCGCTTCTTCAGCCCACACCTTGGAAGACACTCTCGCCTTGGAAGGAGCTTGCTGAATGGCCAGGCCATCATGGTGGATGTTTGGGTGAAGCAATCCCAGGGTTGAGCGGTGAGCGTGAGAGTCCGGTTTTGATACGTCGTGCCAGCACCAGAGCAGCGAGGAGCGGCCTGCTTGCTCTGAGAAAGTGCCCGTGCTTGGTGAAGCTCCGAAAACCCTCAAGCCAACAACCCTAGAAGATCCGTAGAACCTGGGCCCTAGACTCCTAGACTGCTTCAAGCCGCGGGAGCACTGTTAGAATGCCCTCTATACTGGCATTTTGCCAACCCAACGTTTGCATGCGCTCAGCCGCGCAGAGAACAAGCAGGCACATGGTGGTCTGCTGAAAATCCGTGTACTAGTTTACGTCATCAGTTTCCATAGGACGTAGAAGCCAAAGGCGAGATGGCTGTAATCCAGACGAGCCACGTGCGCAGCTTACAATAGATCTCCTGTCTTGGACGATTGGACATGTGACAAAAGGTGTCGCCGGCCTGCTGTGACCATTTGTCGTACATCAGTGTGCCGTTTTCGCAGTTGATCCGTGTCCTGGCAGCGAGCTTGGGCTCCAAATGTAGTTGACGTCATGGGCTTTCAATGCGACATTGCGCTGCTAACCGCGCTGTTGATGTGAACCTGCCCAAGGCCCTGAACAGTGCGAAGGCTGAGGTAACCCTGCAGCCCCACACCCCGACCTCCGTACATCCTGAAACTCTACAAGCCCTGCACCCTTAACGCGAATGATTCATCCCACAGCCCTACATCCTACAACCGCTAAAGTTCCTTAAAACGGCGAAACCACAAGCTCTAAACACGCACAGCGCGAACACTCGCAAGCCCAAAAATTCTAAAGTGCCGCTCCGACGGCTGCCCACTTGCTCTGCCTCTGCCTCGCTGCCGGCGCAGCTCGTCTGCCAGTCCGCACGCAGTTACGGGTTTAGGCTTCCGCAAGGGACCCTTTCGATGGATTACTGGGTTCGAGTTGTTTCGAGTTTAGGGCTCAGGGTTAAGGCCGGCTTCTTGCGGGCTGGAATATCATCATAGTGTCTTTATTTCCATGTGCTTCTCGCTTTGCTTGCCAAGTTTAACGAAGATGTTTGGACTTATGCGAGGGTCTGTAAGCAACTACGGTTTGAGATCGTGCATATGGTACATGTGTACACGAGAAGAAGGAAACAAGGTCGCTTTGGTTTGTTTTGTGACGGTATGTTGCAATACCACAGAATCGATCTGCATGTCTTTGCCCCAAGTCCGTCAAGACAATGCTCATTGAGGCTGGGCGCAGCCGATGACGACAAGGCAGGATGGCGTATCCGCCGTGTATCGCAGGTGTGTATACATACATACATGCATAC